ACAGTAGACAACAAAGGTAATGTCTGGACCTGTCTAAAGGCATAGGGTCCCTTTATTGTCTCTTCCAGGACCTTCGAGCATGTGTGAGTCAGCTGTTCATTTCTCTTCTCTTGCCAGTCTGTTGTTGAAACCCTTCCATACCACACAACAGGCTCAGGAGAGTGTATATATTCAGCCAGCTGGTACATCCAAATAATCCCCCAAACTTGTATCTCTTGGGGAAAACAAATAAGGGAATAGGAAGAAATGATTTACTCTATATTAATTTTTATTTGGCCTTGATTTTGTTCAGCATTTGGCATTCAGCCAGCAGGCCTACTCTGGTCCCCATCAGAGCCTGTGAGGGAGCAGAGTGGCCCATTGTCACAAGCTGTGATGTGTAACCATAGGGAGCATTACTTGGTAACCAGGTGTCTAGATTCTGGCTTTTACTCCCTTCACTCGCATGATAGACCACAATATATCATTTGATCTTCCTGGAGCTCAGTCTTTCCATGTGTATAACGGAGGAAGGAGAAGTCTGTTAGAATAGACAGTTCTAGTACCCTGTATTTCTACTACAAATCACAGGAAGGAGTGCACGTTTATTTGGGGGGAAAGAGCATACAGAAAGGGGTTCACAGTTCATTTCGGGAAGATGATCATAATCACTACTTTCCAGTGATTGGAGGTTTCTGTTTGTTTTTTCTTATGCTATAGGTGCTTAGAGGCAGAAATCTGATAAGCTGTAAATGCTGCAGAACTTATTTTGAAGCTGCATTTGCAAAGCAAGCACTTAGTTACTTATTCAAGGAAAGAGCATTTTTTGAAAGCTACCATTTGTCAATATTTATATGGGATTAAGAAAATGTCACCTATCAACATTTTAATAGAATAATTCTATTATTATTGTGCTATTAGGAGTAGGACTTGGAGGGAGCTCATAGAAAATGGAGGGAGGGAGGCTCCTCCTCACGTGGTCACCGAGGCCAGGTGTTTAAGCCCCTTCCTCCTCGTCAGCAGAACCAGATACAGATAATGACTGATTTTAGGAAATAGGGAATTTAAGATTTTGTCCTAGTACTCTTTATCTTTTATTAGGAAAAAATCAGCAAAAAGTCCTTTTGAGAATATAGTAAAATTGCACTTGAATAGTTGACAGGAATCTTAGAACCCAAAGCGGCACAAATCAGTGGGGCCTACAACCGGCCCTTTAAGCAGGGCCCTGGTGCTCCCATCAGAATGGGCAAAGTGGAGACTCTATTTTGAGAATAAGTAAGCTTAATATTTTTTACATTATTAGAAAAATATAACTCCTGCATACCTAACAGTGCCTAACACGTAAATGAGTAAATGCAGCAGAGTTATAAAAACTTTGGAAAGCAGAATAAAAAAAAATTGCTCATAATTCCAACACATTAATAGTCACTGATTTTCTGTGTACACACACAGATATATATAACCGAATACATCTATTTTTAATACATATATTTTATATGCATATATAGGCTGACTATCTCTAAATTTGAAAACCTGAAATGCTCCAAAACCTGAAACGTTATGAGAACCAACATGATGCTGAAACAAAACACTCACTGAAGCATTTCTGATTTCAGATATTCAAGTTGGGGTGAACCAGTTTATTGCGAAATTTCCTAAATCTGAAAGAATTCGAAATTTCAAAGCATTTCTGGGTCCCAGACATTTCAGATAAGGGATACTTAGCCCATATGTGTATACATAAAATACAAAATGTATAAAATGCTTTTATTTTGTATACAGATATAGTTTAAATTTTATTGTAGACACGGTATGGGGAGTTTATGTCTTTATTTCTGAAAGTTAGCATTTTGTGATAAACGTTTTTTAAATTACTGTGCTGTTTCTGATTCTAATGTTAATGACAGCATAATATGATAGCCAGTAATTTCTCATCAGCTAGTGACCATCTCTTATGTCAATTAGATTACATTTTAAGTTTTATGTTTATGTCCTTTTTCTAGTTAAAATCTTTATGTCTATACCTATTTCCTCCTTTTGAATTATTTCCTTACAATAAATGACCAAAACTGAAAATTATGGTTGTAAAAATGACTCCATTGCTACCCTGTAACCAGCATTGAGTTTAAATACAAGTTTCATTACAACATCACCTACTTCAAGTATTCTCACTTTAAAACTGTATTACTAAATTAATGCAAGTAGTACTTCACTGTTACTGCTTTTTTCTTTTTTTGCAGTTTTTGGCTGGGGCTGGGTTTGAACCTGCCACCTCCAGTACATGGGGCCAGCGCCCTACTTCTTTGAATCACAGGTGCTGCCCTGTTACTGCTTTTTTCACAGAAGAAAACCTCATATAATGGAAATCCTACTCATTGTTTAAAATTGTATTTATTAAAATTTCACTTTTGCTCTCTTTACTTCATTCACTAATACCTTATTGAACATTCCACATATAACAATGTAGGGCTGTTTTGTCTGTTGTTTAATACTTTTTATTTCCCTTACAGCTACCTGTGGAAACCCGTAAAGAGATGACTAAAAAGGCTATCAAGACAGTCAAACATTTTATTGAGAAGACAAGGAAAAGAAATTCAGAGGAAGACAGTCACGAAGTTGGTGATTCTAAAGTTACCTATGCGGATGCTTTGAATCATCTGGAGCAATCCCTTGCCCACCTGGAAACCCTCAGCCATAGCTTCATCGTGTCTCTGAAGAATAGTGAGCAGGTAATGAGTTGGAGACTTCTGTGTGTCACGGTCAGTAGCATCAGTAGCAGCTTTCATTTATCTACAACGGCTTTAGTCATTGTGATAGGGCTTTCAGAGCAGGTATCTTTGAAAATGGTCCTCAAGCCTTTATTGTTTAACCTCTTCATTATCAGCATTGTCAGTTCAGCCTTTACTTCTTTCAGAAGGATTTTAGGCCATTTAACACATTGACATCCGAGGAGGAAGGGAGTGAGGGGGTGGAAAGGTAGGAGAAGAGGAACCAGAACACTGGAGGGATGCCTGGGGCTAGGGCAGTGGGCTTTAAAGGTAAGAAAAGGACTCCACTCATAGCTGTATGGGTTTCACTCTCCAACTGAATAGGATAGGTTTTTTTTTCATTCTGATTTTCAGAAAAATTTAGAGATAGCTTACCATGCCTGCCTCAATAGGTTTTTTTAAAAATATGTATATCCTTACTCTGTTTTTATATTATATGCTTGCAAAATAACTTCAAAGATTTTGGGCTAGTAAAATTGTTCCTAGTCAATTTTTAAGTGAGACTCTCTTGGTGTTTCTAAAACACTATTCTGAGGTTCAGAATCTCTGCCCGTGATGAGATTTGAGGACTCATGTCTTAGGACCTACAAGGAAACCATGATTCCTCTGAGGCCATCAGAGATTTGGTTCTATGTTTTAACAGGTGTGGGATTGGGATGTTCTTTTACATAACTGGAAAGTTGACAAGTCAGTAAGTAAATGGTTTTCCTATAAGTGAAAATAGTACTTAGATATATGAATAAGATTCCATTTACCCCTTAATGTTATGGTAAATGAACCCGTAAGTGTTCACTAACCTCCTCTTTCATTTTTCGTAAACCTTACACGTTTATTCAGTTGTATTGTTGGCTTGTCAAAAAGTGTTCATAACTAGAAAGATAAGTCAGTAGAGAGGAATTCAGATAATGAGCAAATAGGAGCTTAACATTTTCTATGAGACACATAAATGCAAACCCCTCATTGAAAAGATAATGGGAACAATTCAAAAGTTTAAAAGCAGTTTTATTTCATTTTGTGATTTTCAGTGCCTATTAACCTGTCTAACAAATAGCTTTAAATAATGGCATGAACAACATTGAAGCTTTTGCAGGGAGCAAATTGGCTTTGCCTAACTTGATTTTATCCTGCTGACATTTATAATACTACAATTCATAATTACAAAAATTCAGGCAAAGTTAGAATCTTCAAGTAATAATGATTTATACTTGTTAGTATAATTTTTTTTTAAATACCAGTTTATTTATTTTTAAAATATAGCAGAATTGGCATTACTCTTCATGGAACAAGTATTATGTTTCAATGCCTAGAATAATATATTTGGATTCAAGGGAGTTGTTTCATCTAGTTGTGATATAAAGATTCCACGTAGTTACTTGGGAATGCCATTCAGTCAGGCCATTGATGGTCTATAATAGGAGACTCTTATTGTCCCTAAATTAGATAATTATTTCATTTTGTTAAGGCACCTTTTATAGCAAAAACTCGAAATTTCAACCTTCAGCTCCATACACTGATCGTTTTACGTTGACCTTGGCATTAACCGCCTTACTGATATACCCAGTAAAAGAGTACCTGATATCCTCGAGAAGGTTAGCAGGATCTAAGTCAAAGGCCTTCATTCGACAGAGCCTCAGTTCTTCTCTTAGTTGGGGTTACTGGTAATTACCTTACCTAACTCATAGAGACTTTTCTAAAATTTAAAATTTCACAGTGGAGAGAGCAGTGAAATGAATCTTGTGCTCAACCCTCAACTTTACATTATCAGAACGTGACCCATCTTATTTTGTGCACACCTCCACCTACCCTCACCTTGCTCCCGTGAGCTATTCTGAACTCAATTCCAGTCATCTCTTTGTTTTATCCACAGATACCTTCATGTCTGTCTCTAACAGATACATTTAAACATAACCACTACAAAATTACCACCATCCCCCCAAATTAATAGTAAGTCTATAATATCACATATCCACTTAATATTTAGCCTTTCCCCGTGGTTGTTTTCAAAGGCAAAACAGTATGCTCAGGGTTACCAGGGAAACTATAAAGAACCTGGAAGGTGTTATTATCACTCAGTGGCCATATTGGTCTGCTTAAAAACAATAGCTTGTATCCTATTTCTTAAATCATTTATTATACAATTAGTGTTTACAGATATTATCAAAGAGAGATAGGCAGTGTGGCATGTGGGGTGGAAGAGCCGTCTTTTGGATTCTCGTCCTGGCTCTGTGAATTACTCTGTGAATTACACACTAAGCCTTGTGACTTAGCGGGCCATTCAGGATCTTTGGTTTCCTTTCTGATAACATGAGGCTAATTAAAAGCGCTTGTAGGATTACTAGAAGTGGTAAATTAGATACCATATGTATAGTACCTGGGATTACGTATTAATAGTTGGCATTCAATAAATTATAACTGTTATGCGAGTGTAGTGCTATAATTATAATAATAGTAATACTAGAGCATTTATGTCTGATGTGCTAAAGGACTGACTTATATCATCTCAGTTAATGTCACAGTGCCCTCTATCCACAAGAACCCATTGTCCTCGTCATTTAACAGATGATGAAATTTGAGGTCACACAGACCCACCCACTAATAAATGCAAGGATTTGCACTCAAGGGTGCAAGAGTTTAATAACCAAAACCTGTGCTTGAGCCTAAAAGCTTAATAACCAGTACTTGTCCTTGAGCCTAAAAGCTTTATAACCAATACCTGTCCTCTGGTATGATGTTGCAGATTGTAATGTATTTGGTTTCAGGATCTTCTGAGTATGTTTCACTATGTGCATGTAGATGTAATTTCTATTTGATATTTAGGTGTTGATTATCATGTCTTTGCAGGAAACACTGCAGAAATACAGTCACCTCTATGATCTGTCCCGATCAGAAAAAGCGAAACTCCAGGACGAAGCTGTGGCTATGTGTTTAGATGGTCAGCCTCTGAGAATGATTCAGCAGCTGCTAGAGGTGGCTGTTGGCCCTCTCGACATCTCACCCAGGGATATAGTACACAGTGCAATAATGAAGATAATTTCTGCATTGAGGTAAGCTGGAAAGTAGTCAATAAGAAAAGCATTTTGCCAGTAAGTAGTAATAATTGCATATGGCTCAGGGGTATTAAGAAGCACATCACGTACATAGAAGCATTTTATAAATTGTGATGTCCTGTACAAAAGTGAAAGTTTATTTTTAGAGTTTTCAAAGTCTTACATCTTAAAATATCTTGAGAAGGGAGAACCGTAAATATGTTTGGTCGCTGTGTCACGTGTAACACATTACGAAGCTCGCGAACTTCTAGTTGACCCATTTCTCCAAATTATTTTTGAAATAGGGAAAAGGCCAAAATGGCATGCAAAGTGGTAGCTAAGTGTCAGACAGCCCCGTGACTTCGGTGTGGTTTTCCAGATCTTACATTTTCTAATTCCCCTTCTTTGTAGCAGTGGGAAAATGGTTCCCAGAAGGTTCCTTTGAGGTCCACAAGGCGAGGTTAATCATACACTGAGGAAGCTGGACATCTGTTAACTGTGTCTTAGGACTTTCTTTACCTGCAGTGAATGGCACAAAACCAACAATTGAGAAATTCTCACTTCATGTCAATATGCTGCTGCCTTTGTAGGAATGCATTTAAAAAGATTAGAAAAGCGGGGAAAGTGAAGCTGAGAAAATAATGAGGCATCAAGTGCTTTTCGTGAATAATGCAATTAGGCTAAAAGATTTAGTTGTGTTTAATTTATTCTCCTTTTAAGCATTCTTTGTAATTCTGTATTGCTCTTGAGGAACTTTTTGATTAAATGCATGTCAGTTTTCTGCAGCTGAACTGCAATCAAATGAGCCTTTATCAGTTTAATTACCCCAGCCTCATAGAGTTTTTACCTTAATGCTCTGAGGTATCTGGTAATTTTATATATAGGGAGAGACATAAAATTTTATAACATTTTTTGGAAAGAACAAATGCCAGGTGAATCAAGCTTTGGTCTATTACTAGCTTATGATTCTTTCGTTGATGGTTATAAGAACCACTCTCCTCTTTCAGATGATGACAGATAATCGTTTGCCACATTTATACTTTTTGGTTTATGGGTTTTTTTTATGGTTTCTTAAATCAGGTTTTGGATGTAGCCTCACAAGAATAAACATTTGAAAAATTAGTGTTTTGGGTGAATTTAGTTCATTTCTTAAAAATTATGCATTTTCATTAATAAGTAAAATTAACTATGATGTGACATTTTTACATCTATAAAATTTTGACATAAATTACACTTCTCTCGCCTTCCCTATACCCGATTCAACTACTAAAGATTTGGTTCTGATCTTATAAATGGTAGACTTGGTACACAAAAGATACTCAATAAATGTAAATTAAACTCCTCAGCAATGGAAAGAAAAGGGACTTTAGGAATTCAGCTAACTCCGTTTCAAAGGAAAATAAATTGTTATTGACAATGTTCATAACATTTAACTTTCAGGAAGTTATAAAATTTAGTAGGCGCGAAATACAAAAACATGAAGGTACCTGAACATAGCAGGTACCTTGATTCAAATCATCAAGTTAAATTATTTGGAAAATTTATCCAAAATTTCTTTCTCTTTTGTTCCATTTTCAGAATTCACTAGAGTTCTCCACATACATATCTGTAAAGTGGGCATAATCATAATACTTGTCATTTGGGCTAAGGAGTTTGTCACAGGGCAGAATGTATGTAAACCACTTAGCAACCTGGTACCTAGTAAGTAGCAAGTAAATATTAGCTTTAAAAAAAGGTTCAGCTAGAGGATGTAGATCATTATTGTACATTTAATGGTTAAAATAGTTTATACATTTACTGTTCAATGAATGTTTTCTGAATGACACAGTGCAAGTACGATGTGGTTTTTTTTGTTTGTTTGTTTTGTTTTTGTTTTGTTTTGGATAGAACAATGTATAAATTAGCTTGAGCTCCTTTAAAGCAAAAAATGTTTCATTTTCACATCTTTAGACCCTGGTAGAGGGCTTGGTCCACTTGTAGACATCTTAGAGCACAAATGAACATGAGCAGGCAGCATGCCACACCTGAATCGGGCCGGCTTCCCCTGGGTATGAAGTACCAACTTGAGTGATTCTCTTCTGAATCAGTTCTCCTCTCTTTTCACAGTGGAGGCAGTGCTGACCTTAGGGGGCTGGGGGACCCCCTGAAGGTCCTGGAAGGTGTTGTTGCATCAGTGCACGCCAGTGTGGACCAGGGGTAAGTCTATAGCCCTGCATGCAGCTTCATTTAATGGCTTTCCTCAGAGTCTTAGTATTGTTTTGCGTATTCATATTTATGCTACTTCCAAGACTGAGCAACATTTAGGTATTTCTAGACTAAATACTGAGGATGGGCTTAAGAAAGAAGTGGCTCTGCCTCTGGAGACATGGTATCCCCAGCTCTGTGCTGGGCCACCAGCTCTAGCAGGACCTTCTGTGCTGAGCCCTTCCTGTGTGGAGAGCACCATCTTTCCAAAGAGAGGAAACTGCCTTGAGCTTCCTAAAGAGAAAGGATCACACCTCTAACACATTAACTGTATCGATGAAGCGTGGAAATTCCTAGAATGTGTATATTATCTTTAAAAAGAAACTTTTTAAAAGTTAAGTCCGCCTTGGTTGAGGATTCAAAGTGTACAGGCTTTGCAAGTCTATGAGGGTAAGTATCTCTAATGCTAGTTTTAGAAAGACTTTTTCTCAGGCCTGGGGGTGTTGATGAGAATAGTAAGAACTGCAACTGAACAATTCCGCATTGCCTTAGAGTTTACACAGGTCATTCATATGCCTAACATCCATGTCACCCCAGAAGGCTGCTCCCCAGTTCTCTTTTTTGAATGGAAAGTAGGACATGATAATAATGAAGACATGTTTGAGAAAACTCCCCGTAGTTCCCATTTAGTAATTACCGTATTACCTTCCAGTGATTGCAAAGGTAGAGATGTATTTTACATAGTTTCAATTGAAATGGATGAACACTTTTGTATTGTACTTTTTTACTTGCTATTGTACTACTTCCCATTCATCTTTGTAGATTTTGTGATTATTATGATTTTTTAGTAGCTATGTATACTGTTGCCATTTTCAACCTAAAACTCCAAGAGAAGAATTGACTTGTACAGAGTTATGGACCTGGGAAGTAGAACCAAGATTCCACCCTGGCTGCAAATTTTTAATAATTTAAATTATTAAATACTCAGATGCCTTTACGGTATATTTCCATACATTGCTTTGTGCCCAAGGCTTGAGGGTAAGAACATAGGGCAAGCTCTGTAGGAGCATGTGGGAAAATCTGGCATACAGGGCCCTCTTCTCTTGCCTTTTGGCTCCCATAGTTTTTCTAATCCCATTTGGCTCTGGGGCTTCAGCTAGGAAGGTAGAGGAAGCTGTGGCTAAATTAGACCCATTATTCTAAAGAGAAATACAGCTGCTGTGTATGTTACCGCGTGCCATGTTCTGTGTTAAGTCACAAGGACTTATATGTGGATAAGAGTAATTGCTAGCCCCAGCACCTCGCATAGTACCTGGACTATAGAGAGGTAGGTGCTGTACAGAAATCCAGGTGTGGGGAGTGTTTTCTTTCTGCCTGGACAGGATACACCAGGGGTGACATTGGAACTGCTGTATGAAAATATGAGTCTGTTAGAAGGAGGAGATGGCATTTCAGGATTCGGAAGCTTCCTCAGTGTGCAGCATGCCTGCAGATATCTTAGCGAGCAGAGCAGGTAGAGACGCTACACTGGGAACACTCAGCTCCCCCAGAGGGTCCCCTTGCTGCTGCCCTTTCAGTTCCCCGTTGCCAGTTCTCAGCCAAGAGCTCCCAGTGAGCTGCTGTTAGAGCTTCTCAGGCAAGGATGACCAGGATCCAGGCCTCCCAGTAGGAAAGGATCTTAACAGGTTTAAGGCCCCCTTCACTGGGGCTCCTTAGTCTTGTCCCACTGGGGATGTCTCAAGAAGGTTAGAAGACAGTGTTGTTCTTAGTGAATTTCCAGACAGATATACAGGAGAGTCTTAACTTGGGTCTCACTTGAATATAGATTTTTTTTTTAAGCTTTGAAGAGAAATGGGAATGGAGAAACAGAAAAAGAGTTACTTTTCATTCCAGAGACACAAAAGACAAAAGCTTCTTAAAAAGAAAAAAAATATTTCAGCGAACATTTTTTTTTTTGGCTTAAAAAAGAAGAAAGACGAAGGCATAGCTTCTATCCCTGGCAAGCGTTTTTTGAGTCCGTACAGCCGCATCTGCACCCTTTGTTTGGATTTCTCTTCCAGTAATGCTCCTGGCAGAATCACACAGGGCAGACAAAGTGTGTTTTCCAGATAGTTCCAAACAAGGCTCTTGGAGTGATGTGGCTGGAACTTCTAGCCCTTTGAAAGTAAGGCTCATTCCGTGATCTGACATGCCTGCCTGACCTCTAGGAGGCCATGTCCAGCCTGTGTGTTGACACACCAGGCCCTCAGTCCCACCCCATACCCTGAACATCCACTGTCCTCCGCAGCGTCTGTTGTGCTAGTAAACAGCCTCTGCTCACACGCATGGCCAGCAGTCACACACAGGCACAGTCACACGCTCTGGGGTTTTGTATACACCATCCCATAATATCCCTTGCCAGATAAATTGCATAGAAGACTAAGAATTTGAGTGTGTATGTTTTAGCCACCACCAAATATTTGGTTTTGTTAACTTTTTGACAGTTTATTATCTGTATATTGATGTCATTTGTGCTTGTTAAAGTTTAATTTTTTCAAATTTGCTATTGACACATAATAACTGACATACTACGTATTCATGGAAAACGATGTGATGTTTTAATATACATAATGATCAAATTGGGATAATTACCAAAGCCATCACTTTAAATGCCGTTTACCTTATGTGTCCATTTTGGGGTCAAAAAACAAAAATAACAATAAACATCTCTTTTTTTGTGGTGGTAACATTCAAAATCTTTTTTTGGCTGTCTGGAAATCTACAATATATTGTTATTTGCCATAGTCATCCTACCGTAAGACAGAACACCAAAACTTAGCCTGTCTGGCTGTAATTTGTACTCATTGGCAAACCTTTCCCAGTCACTCTGTTCTCATACCCCCTCCTCAGCCTCTGGGAACCACTGTTCTACTCTGAACTCCTATGAATTTACCTTTTTCAGATTTCACACGTGAGTGAAAGTAAGTGACGTTTGTCTTTCTGTGCCTGACTTATTTTCCTTAATATAAAATCCTCCAGATTCGTTCACGTTACTGCAAACGACAGCCTTTTATTCTGTTTATACTATTTTCCATCATGGCTGTACTAATTGACACCAATGGATAAGAATTCCTTTTTCAGGCTGTGCCTGTGGCTCAAAGGAGTAGGGCGCCGGCCCATCCCCTGGAGGTGGCAAGTTCAAACCCGTCCCTGGCCAAAAACTACAAAAAAAAAAAAGAATTCCTTTCTCTCAGCATCTTCGCCAGCACTTATCCTTTTTGTCCTTTAATAATAGGCACTCTACCTGGTGCGTAAATCTCACTGTGGTTTTCATTTGCATTTCCTACATGATTCGTGATACTGAACATTTTTTCAAAAATCTGTTGGCCAATCGCATGTTTATTTTTAAGCAATGTCTATGTAGGGCTTTTGCCCATTTTAAAATTTTACTGTTTGGTTTTTTTTTTTTTTTTTTTGATGTTGGGCTCCTTATGTATTCTGGATATTAACCTCTTATCAGATAGATCTTTCACACATATTTTCTCCCCGTCTGTAACTTGCCATTTCATTTTGTTGTTCCCTTTTCTGTGCAGAAGCTTTTTAGTTTTCTGTAATCACATTTGTCTGTTTTTGCTTTTGTTGTCTGTGCTTTTGAGGTCTTATTAAGAAAATTCTTGCCCAGCCTAATTTTATGGAGAATTTCTCCTATGGTTTCATTTAGTGTTTTTCTTTTAGTAGTTTCATACTTTTGGGTCTTACATTTCAGGCTTTAATCTATTTAGAGTTGATTTTTTTAATATGGTGAGCGATGGTGGTGGTGGTGATGGGTTCTGGTTTTATTTTTCTGCACATAGATTCCTGGTTTTCCCAGCACCATCTGTTGAAGAGACTGCCCTTTTTCCCTATGTGTGTTCTTGGAGCCCTTGTTGAAAATCAGTTGGCTGTAAATACGTAGATTTATCTCTGTGTTCTCCATTTTTTTCCATTGGTCTGTGTTTCCATGCCACTACCACGCTGCTCTGGTTCCTATAGCTTCATATTATAGTAAACAGTATTTTGACGTCAGGTAGTGAGATGCTTCCAGTTTTGTTCTTTTTACTCAAGATTGCTTTGGCTCTCTGTCTTTCCATATGAATTTTAAGCTTTTTTTTCTATTTCTGTGACGAATCTCATTAGTATGTCTATAGGGATTGCATTGAATCTGTAGACTGCTTTGGGTAACACTGTTACAAATCTTAACGGTGTTCTTCTAGCTTATGAACATGGATGTCTTTCCATTTACTTATATCCTCTTCAGTTTCCTTCATCAGTATTCTATAGTTTCATTATAAAGGTCTTTTACCTTTTTGGTTAAGTTCATTAGAACGTATTTTTTAATTTTTTGTAGCTATTTTAAGTGGAATTGCTTTCTTGATCTCTCTCTCAGATAGAGAGAAACTTTAACTTTCTCTATAGTTGACATATAGAAATGCTACAGATTTTTGTATGTTGATTTTGTATCTAACAACTTTATTAAATTTATTAATAGATGTTGAAAAAGCATTTGTTAAAATTCAACATCCCTTTATGAGAAAAACTTCCAACAGCGGGGTATACGAGGAACATACCTCAACTTTCAACAAGAGGGTATACAAGGAACACAGTGAAGGTCGCCTCTGACAGAGCCAGAAGTAACAATACTGAATAGGAAAGATCCACCACCTTTATTCAGCACAGTCCTAGAATTTCTAGTCAGACCAGTTAGACAAGAGAAGGAAATAAGGCATCCAAATTGGAAAAGAGAAAGTCAAATTGTCCCTCTTTGTAGATGACGTGATTACATATATGGAAAACCGTAAACTTCCCGCCAAAACACTGTTAGAATCATTGGCACTTTAATTGCAGTTTCTGCCTCACCCAGAATGCCCCTTTTCTCTTACTTTATGTGCTAGTTTTAAGTCACTTAAAAACACAACACCTAGGGCAGCACCTGTGGCTCAAAGGAGTAGGGTGCTGGCCCCATATGCTGCAGGTGGTGGGTTCAAACCTAGCCC